GGGGTACAAGACTGAGACAGAAAACCCAGGAAGTTAGGGATCATTACAGAAGTGCCAAATGTGAGGACACATTATATGTTTTTCCCAACTTCGCTTAGGAGAGACAATGTCTGAAGGTGATGCATGGATTTATAAGAGTAATCTTTTAGAATGTCCATATTGGTACTTTAAGGACACAGCAAATAGCGGTGCAAGACCTTATAGGTTATACATTCTCCCTAGTGTTTGCAAAAAAGCACAGAAATAGCAAAGGGATAGAAAATTAAAATTGCAATAATAGAGTGATATTAAGATAAAAGACTGACAGATTTATTCTTCTAGGTTTGGAGCATCTGCATTTTTTCCAAAGTTTATTAAGACCTTCACAATTATTATGACTATCTTTGATATTAATTGGATCAGATTTTGGCTCTAAAATTCTCTAATAGCTTCTGACTATCTTCATGGATTTATTTTATTCCACCGTGAATTCTTTGAGATATGTCAACATGTGAATGAACCTCAGATAAAAGATAAAGACTGGTCTTAAACACGTACTCCAACTAGACAACTTAAGAACATTCTTTCCTCAGTTTGTGGTCTTCCTCAAGACTTGCCTTTGTCCCCAAGGCTTCTGCCTCATTCTGCGTCCCTTAGGGACAGGCATATGTCACTGTATGTGAATTCAGGTGGACCACAGCAGGTGATATTCGTCTGGGTAGAGAGGGATTTCCTAGCATCCTCGTCTGCTGGATATTTTCTTCTTACTTCTACATTCATTTTAAACTTTCATGAGTAAAGCCTTTATCCTTCTTTATTCCAACTTTTTTTTTTCAATTTTATTGTTACAAGTGTCAACCAGTTTTCCACAGATGGCGGCATGTCCTTTACTTTGTTCAGTTTCTTCTTAGCAGATCTAACTATTCCTGAAAGAAAACTTCTTTCCTCAAGGATTTCAAATCCACTGACTCCTATAAAACAAAAGAATGGATTGTACTTTAAAAGTTGAAGGTTTGTGTTTTCAGAGCTTTTGCTTATGGATGCTATCTTAAATATCTCGTGCTGCTATAACAGAAATAACCCAAGTGATGCCATTAACAAACTGAAATTTATTCTCTCACGGTTTAGGAGACTAGAAGTCCCAGTTCAGGGTGCCATCTCCAGGGGAAGGCTTTCTCTCTCTGTCATCTCTGAGGGAATGTCCTTGTCATCAATCTTCCCCTGGTCCAGGAGCATCTCAGTGCAGGGACCTCAAGTCCAAAGGATGCACTGTGCTCCTGACTCCTCTTGCTTGGTGGTACTGAGGTCCCTCTCCTCTCTGCTCACTTCTCTGTTTTATATCTCAAAAGAGATTGACTCAAGATACAACTTAATCCTGTCGATTGCGTCCTGCCTTATTAACATAACTACCTCTAATTCTGCCTCATTAGCATCATAAAGGGTAGGATTTACAACACATAGGATAATCACATCAAATCACAAAATGGTGGACAACCACACAGTACTGGGAATCATGGCCTAGTCAAGTTTACACACATTTTTGGGGACACAATTCAATCCATAACATTCCACCCCTTGGTCCCAAAAATTCATGTCCTTATCACATGCGAAACATATTCACCCCATCAAATCATCCCAAAAGTGTTAAATCAACTCCAAGTCCAAAATCTCATCTTCTGCAAAATTCCTCTTCGTCTGTGAAATCTAGAATACAAGTTATCTGCTTCCAAAGTACAATGGTGGAACAGACACAAGGTAAACATTTCCATTACAAATGGAAGAAACTGTAGGGAAAGAAAGGATAACAGGCACCAAGCAAGTCCAAAACCCAGCAGAACACATTACATTAACTTTCAAGACTTGAAAATAATCCTCTGTTCTCTGAGACCATTTAGGCAATGGCCCTGCACTCCAGATTCTGGGTGTTGGCCCTACTGTACGGATTCTGGGTAAAGGCCCCTCAGCCTTGGGCTTCAGCTCCACCTTCCAGGCCCACTGGAATGGCAACTCTCCTCCCTCGACCTTGGGCTGCCACTTCTGCTATTCTATCTGAATGGCAACTCAACCTCCTCAGCCCTGGCAGGTCCCATTCTTCTGCCCCTTGGGCAGGGCAGCCCTGCCCTCTCAGCTTTTGGCAGCGGATCTGGCCCCATCCCCCTGGCACTCATGAACTGCTGCCCCATACTCCGTAAATGAGTTGGTGAAGATCTGACTCTTTGAAACCTAGGAGGCCGTGGCCCCACCCTTTCAGACCCAGCTTGTCATGGTTCTACCGTTTGAGGACCCAGAAGTTGTGGCCCTACCCTTTGAGACTGAGGCAGCTCTGCTTCCTGTTCTCCTTGTTTCTTCAGCTTCTGCTTCCTGGTTCCTTGGCCCCTCAGCCTCTCAGCCCGTCAGCCCTCTTAGGCTGGCCTGGCTTCTGCCCTGCTGGGGAAAGTGTTACAAAGCTCTTCAGCTCCACTGATAAGTGCCCAGAGGCATCCCACTCTGCCAGTAAACTTCGGCAGAAAGGCACTCAGCTCTCTTGCTGTGTGGGTTAGAAAGCCTAGATCCACTGATAAGGGTCCAGAGGCATCCCACTCCACCAGGAAGCCTCCTGCCCAAAGGCACTTAGCTCTTTTGCTCCATGGGTTGGCTCCCACACCATCTCAAACCAGTCTCCTGGTTCTGCTGCTGCAGTTTCTCTGCTGCTGCTTCTCGCCATCTGTGCTGTCTCCAGTGTTATAGCTCTCCTCACTTCCTTCTGAGACCTCACCAGAATTGTCTTTGATGTCTGTAATTACACCAACAGTCTCTTCAAGGCAATCTAGGCTTTCACTATTAGGTACTTTAAAACTCAGCCTCTACCCATTATTCAATTCCAAAACTGCTTCTACATTGTAGCTATCTGTTAGATCAACATCCCACTCCCAGTAACAAATTCTCAGTTATCTAGTGCTACTATAACATAAATACTACAAGTGAAGGACTTTAACAGAAATCTATTCTCTCACGGTTTAAGGGGCTAGAAGTCCCAGATCAGGGCATCAGCTCCAGGGGAAGGCTTTCTCTCTCTGTCAGCTCTGGGGGAAGTTCCTTGTCATCAATCTTCCCCTGGTCTAGGAGCTTCTCAGCACTGAGACCCTGGGTCCAAGGAAAGTACTCTGCTCCTAACTCCTCTTGCTTGGTGATACTGAGGTCCCTGTCCTCTCTGCTCAATTCTCTCTTTTATATCTCAAAAGAGATTTACTCAAGATACAACCTAATCCTATTGATTGTGTCCTGCCTCTTTAAGGTAACTGCCTCTATTCCTGCCTCATTAACATCCTAGGGAGTAGGATTTACAACATACAGGATAATTACATCAGGTCATAAAATGGAGAACAACCATACAATACTGGGAATCATAGCCTAGCCAGGTTGATACACATTTCTGGGGGACTCAATTCAATCCATAACAGATGCATTTACAACATAGCTCTGTTTGCAACTTTTTCCCTGCATCAGATGAGGGTTGGGAAGAAGGGTAGGAACTTCTTAAGCTGAGAAAATGGCAAAAAGTCATAAAAATCAATAATCTCTGATATATAATCATTATTAATAATACATTATAATAAAACATTATCATATTTGAAAGTCTAAATGATCACATTCACATGCCATACATATTTATTAATAATTACACTTTCTTTCCCTTAAAATTTTGAGCTCCGAGAGTTAATGATGACATAGATTTATTGTTGACTAGACTCTGCTACTTAGTCGGTACTCATTAAATGTTTATTGAATTGAATTTAATGTTAAATGAGAATTTGGATCAAATGATTCCTAATATCTCCCTCCACTTGCACCTTCTGTGATTTGTTTATTTGCCGATAAAGAACCAAATTAATAGATTATGAAAAAACTTCAATGTGTGTAGTTTAATACCTTCAACTTCAGAAGATGGACATCTTCTCACCGAATCTTGCAGAACATTAATAGAACAGGCTGGTTTTCACTGAAGGTAAACTTCCATATTGCAGAACACATGCAAATATTAGTTGCCAAAGACAAGTGGTAGCATGATTTTCACCCATTAGTATTGTACTTGATTTGTTTTCTAAAAAGTGGAATTCCACTTTCTTTAAAATTCTTCACATAATTCTTCAGCCATTATAGAAATCCACTTTATTCTGCATCTGTAATGATGAGTATCTGAATGTTTATTGGGCATTAAGCTCCATTGAAATTATCATGCTTTCCTTTATAGTCCTACCTGGTTACATACGTGTAATCAAATGAATAAAAATAACTAACTCACATTATGTAGCATTTTAAGATATAGAATGTACTTTAGGATAAATATGAATAGATGAAGCAACATTGTCCATTTAAAAATAAGGAAAACCTCAAAAATCTGGTCTTTTGATCAGCCCAACTCTGTAGGTAGCAGAACCAGAGTGTGAACCCACTTATTTTATTCATAATCTAGATGTGTTTTTGTACCATACCACTAGTCCTCACAATTCTTTATGGGTTCTGTGTCCATGTGTAATGAATGTCAATCTCTTCCCTGAACCCTTGTGTATACTAGAGCAGTCTTCAAGGATTGTGAACTCCACAAAGGTGGCTGGTTTCAGGGTAAGAGTCCCGAGACTGATCATAAGATGTGTAGTAAAAAGCCAATGAAAATAAAACGGGTGGAACTCCAGAAGATAAGGATCTTGTTTTCAGAATAAGTTGTTCTCCATTTCCTATGGCTCCCTTCCACATGAATTAATTGCCAAATCCATCAAATGGCAAATACTGCTTTTAGGCCCTAGCAGATCAATACAATTGTATGCATCTGGATTTTTTGTCTCATCTGCACTTGTTGATATTCTTTACCCTTCATGATCAATTAATATAAATCAGGTATTCAAGAACTTCAGAAAAATGTTCTTTTGCCTTATTGTTTCATATTGTGTTAATTAAGATCCTGACTCATTTGTGACATTCACTGTTAGGCAGAAAACTAATTCTGACTTCATTATCTTTTTCTTACTACTGTCATTATAAAGGCCATGGACAGTGTAATTGTGGAAGATGTGACTGCAAAGTAGGATGGTCTGGGAAAAAGTGTGAACACCCACGTTCCTGCCCGCTGTCAGCCGAGGAGAGCATCAAGAAGTGCCAAGGAAGCTCGACTCTGCCTTGCTCTGGAAGGGGTAAGTGAGGTCTCTTAGGTCAATTCATCACCTCCTGATCCTATGAGTTAAATGAACTTATTCATATATATCTTATTTAAAAAAGAGCTGAGATCCCTGAATAAGGGAAGAGTAGCCTTTTCAGAATAATGTAATAATATGTTATTGTTAATATTATTAATTAAGATTATCGTTATTAATTATTAATGGTAATATAATATAATACAGTAATATAATAAATCCACTTTCCATGAGTAAAATACATGGAGAAACATAATCTCACTTTCTTTCTGTCTTTGTCTCACTCATTCACTCACTCGCTCACTCTCATTCACTCGCTCACTCACTCACACACTCACTCACTATCTCGCCCGCTCATTCACCCACCCACCCACTCACTCACTCACACACTCTCTCACTCACACTCACTCTCTGACTCACACACTCACTTTCTCACACCCTCACTCTCTCACTCACACACTCACTCTCTCACTCACTCACTCACACACTCTCTGACTCACACACTCACTCTCTCACACACTCACTCATTCACTCACCCACCCACCCACTCACCCACTTACTCACTTACTCTCTCACACACTCACTCACTCTCTCACTCACACACTCACTCTCTCACACACTCACTCACACACTCTCTGACTCACACACTCACTCTCTCACTCACACACTCTCTCACTCACACACTCACACACTCTCTGACTCACACACTCACT